CAAAACACAAATTATAAGCACATATTAAAAGGATTTACACATGTTCCAAAACAAATGATTATTTATACTGTCCAAAGGATGAGAATGTTTAACAGAACAACAAACAAAGAAATAACATTTGACCGTCCATAGCTAGGTGAATCTAAATCAAAATTATTTTTTTTTTCACATTAGGCTGTGAACATGTTGTCCATTTTCCATGTCTGTGGATGCCCTGGTGTTAGGAAGGTAATAATTGTTCCTCTGGTGGAAGCAAAGAAAAAAAGGTAAGAAGAGTTTTCCTCTCTAAAAAGTGCTGAACTCCCATGCACTCAACCCAAGTGAAAACAATTGTGGTTTCCCTACACTTTTAATTTTGTAGAATCAGTGGATCACACCTAAGTTTCCATAATGCTGTCATTAAACAATGTCCTGATTGGACAATATAAATGAAAATTGTATTTTGTTTATCTTCACATGCAAAGTTCTTTAATCTTGCACAGCTAAACACATATAGGCTCCAAATCAAGTTTCAGCAACTGATATATTCTGATTGGTCCAACAATGCCAAGGTCATGTTCCCACCTATGCACAATGTGTTCAATTCAAAAATGCACCAAAATTGAAAATGTGTTCTTGAGCCTATCACGTGATTAAGAAGTAAATAAATATGATACATTAGCACATTTTCCATTGAGAATGTTACCAGCTCAACTGGATCAGCCTTTTTCCCCTCTCCTCATAGCCATATTTATTTTATCTTTTCTTCCCTCTTCCTTAGCGAGAGAGTCCCAATTTTGCCTTAAAGGCAGAATACAGTAGACTCTCTTTTTTGAGGGGGTGACGGGTCCAACATACATCAGTTTTGTTTCTTTTGTTGTTTTATATTTTGGTTTTGCTTTTTGAGGATCATCCCCCCGCCTTTCATCATTTGTGAATTTTTATGTATATAAAATTTTTAAAAGAAAAAATCATGAACTTTTCAAATTTTTCATGTCATGGGATGCATTTTGTAGCCCCCACCCCCACCCCGAGTGTGTAAGGTATTATGGTAAATGGAGGATTGAATGATGATGGACAAGTTCTTTTGTGAATGTGTAAAACTATAACAACTGAATGGGTCATGAACCAGATTAGCTAGGTATAAGATAGCGGTGATGACCAGCCTCATTATACTTCCCCTTTTTTTGGGCCTTGTGCCACAATTGCATATTTTTATGCAATAAATCTTGAGAATGTGACCATCAACCCAACTTGCCAACTGAATTTATGTTACTCCATTCTGAGGCTGTTCAATCTCCTATAATTCCATGTTTGTTAAAATAAATTATTCAATAGTTATTTTGTCTGTCAGTCTGTATCCATTCACAATACACAATATATGAAAAGCATGGTATTCAACACAATTGTGAATTGACTATAAAAAAAACCTACAATAAAATTACTTGGAAAGTTTATTGTGACTCAAAACATTTCTGGATCAGAAAAAAGAGAAAATTAAATAAAAAAAAGGAAAGATTTCAATATGGGCAAAGTTTAACCTTTATATTAAATAAAATAAAGTAAAAATAGTAACGTTTTTAAATTGTTTATTTAATTTAAATTTAATTAAGAGATTAAAGTTTGCCCATAATATCTTTGGTTTTATTTATTTATTTTTGTTCATGGAAAGGCTATTTATTGCAGGAAATAAATAAATAAGGCAGCAAGCAAAAATAAATAAATAATGTTGGGAAATTTGTCCCAGCTTTCCTGGTTGAGGTTAAAAAATTGAAACAAATCTTACTTATTATAAAATGCAGATTGTGTGTGTGTCTGTACGTTTATATATTGGATCGGATTTCCTACATTTTTCAACCGATTTCAACAAAACCTCACAGGACTACGTAAAATTACCTTGCGGTGGTTCTGACAACACCAAAAATTGGAAAAATACAATTGTTTTTGCATGAAATCAATTTGAAAACATGATTAAGAGACATTAATGAAAGGGGGACAACTCATATCGAGTTAACTTATTAATATACTTATTATAAAACCCAGGTTGTTTGTGTATGTGTGTGTGTGTCTGTGTGTGTGTGTCTGTGTGTGTGTGTGTTCGTTTATATATGGGATCGGATTTCCTACATTTTTCAACCGATTTCAACTTTTTTTTGGCAGGTAGTGTTTCTTATTGTCTTGCACACTTCTTTCTTTATTTTTACATTCAGAATGCTTTAAAAATTCCATTTACAAGACAATTGTTTATAATAAAATTCTATTCAATTGGTAGACTCATAACGATTGAAAACAATGTTTTTGTTTGAGTTTGGGTTTGACCAATTTGTAAAAAACAAAACAAAAAAAGAAACAAAAAAATAAAACTAATTAAGACATGCGTGTCCGTCAACCTTAAACAATAATCTTTGTCAATTTTATTTTTCAGTCTTTATGATGGTCGATACTTGATCTATCTCTTACTGCTACATCCCCAGGCAACGCCGAGCTCTACTGCTAGTATTGAATAAAAACAGCAAGATTAGAGTGAACAAACTCTCTTTTGTAGGTGGACGAATAAAGAAAGACTTAAAACTCCTGCTCAAAACAATAAAAGAAGAAAGTTTTTATTTACATATACAAAAAAAAAAGGTAAAAAGGATAAAAAGACAATTAGGAGAGAAAGAAAGGGAGAAGAAAAAATCCTTTAATTTTAAGAAAAGAGAAAATGTTCATAAAAGAAAAAAAGGTTACTTAAAATATTTCTCTGAGCGCCTAAAAGTTCTTTAAGCGAGTAGAAGGTTGTTATTGGTTAGAAACACTCAGTTTTCCTCACAGTTCTTGTAGAGTAGGAAAATGTTGGTAAATATAGGAATTCTGCAGTTGAGGGAGTTTGTAGGTTGACAACAGAAGTCTTGTAGGTGAAAGGAGGCAGCTTTCAACTGGTCTTTAATAGTGGGCCGACATTTGTTCTGGACGGCCCCTTAGTAGGTAGTTCTTTGTTGAAACTGGTTCCGAGGTTGACTGCTGCTCTCTATCACCGACCTCACAGACAGTGGTCGAAAACTCACTCCCAAATAGGTGAAGATTCTCTAAATTTATGGAGATTTGGGAGGCTCATAAGAATGGGGGACTTTTCCCTCCAAAATTGTTATACAAATTTCCTGGATCCTTCATTTGTCAGAAAATATATTCTTACCTCTGATAAGAAGAATCAAGGCTTTGGGAGCCGGTTTTGAAAGTAAGGAAAAAGGTTGGAGTGAACAAACTGTAAGGTTTCCCTCAGACTTTATGGCACCATGGAAAGAATAATGGTGGTGGAATTCCTTTTTATATTTTCCAGCTCTCTCATTAGTCAGACAATATATTCTTATCATACTTATTATAAAACCCAGGTTGTGTGTGTGTGTGTGTCTGTACGTTTATATATTAGATCGGATTTCCTACATTTTTCAACTGATTTCAACAAAACTTCACAGGACTACGTAAAATTACCTTGCGGTGGTTCTGACAAAAAATTGGAAAAACACAATTGTTTTTGCACAAAATCAATTTGAAAACACGATTAAGAGGCATCAGGAGAATGAAAGGGGGACAACCCATATCAAGTTATACTTATAAAACCCAGGTTGTTTGTGTGTGTGTGTGTGTGTGTGTGTGTGTGTGTGTGTGTTCGTTTATATATGGGATCAGATTTCCTACATTTTTCAACCGATTGAGTTTGGGTTTGACCAATTTGTATAAAAAAAAAAAACTAATTAAGACATGCATGTCCGTCGACCTTAAACAATAATCTTTGTCAATTTTATTTTTCAGTCTTTATGATGGTCAATACTTGATCTATCTCTTACTGTTACATCCTCGGGCAACGCCGGGCTCCACTGCTAGTCTCTGATAAGAATCAAGGCTTTGGGAGCCAGTTTTGAAAGTAAGAAAAAAGGTTGTAGTGAGGATTTGAAAAATAGGTGAGAATGTGAATTTGTGAAATATTGCATTCGTGGTTCTCAAATTAAATCCCAATAATAAATAAATAAAAAGGAGTGATTATTAGTTGGGAAAGTGGAAGTGACAAGGAAAGTTCAAAATCTGGACCATTCTGTTACATTCAATTCCTTTTTAGGAAAGACATGATTCCAACTCTTCTACGCCCAGTTATAGCAGGATTTACTGGGATTTCTAACCTTGGGCAGCAAAAATGGAAACTGTGAATTTCAAACAGAAACCAATCCCCTCTCTTTTCCCCCAAAATATATGGCAATTCAAAAAAAAATTTGTGGTGAGTCACGATCACCTACGTCTTGAAGGGGTATGGCATTTTAAAGAAAAACTCATTTTTCAAAAAAAAAAAAAGAAAGAGAGAAAGAATTTCATTGAATTGTTTCAAATCAGAAAAAGGATATTACATCGAATAAAAATTAAAACTTTTTTCAAAGAGGACGGTATTGCATAATTGAAAATAATATTTTTGAAACCTCAAGTGTTTTTTTTTACGTTCTACGTTTTAATACTGAGCTTAGTCCGCAAGCAGATGGGGCGAGAGTAAAGGAAGGAGGAAAGAAAGAAAGAAAAAGATAGAGTGAGTGACAAAAGAAGAGAAAAAGAAACGCAATAAGGAAGGTTGGGAGTAAAATTGAAGTGACGTCAAGTCTCGCGGGTTTTCGCGCGTGACGTCACAGCCATGGAAGAAGCAGTCATGTAAAGTTGGGGGTTAGTGTTTCCCTCGTCATCTTTGTGGATTACATATTAAAAGCTGACACCTGGTTCAGTTCAAACAATCATATCGGCCCTCTTTGTACTTTGAGGGGGGGTTACTATCACCCCCCACTGCGAAAAAGCAAACACAATAGAAAGGTGGTGATTATCACTCATAAAATTAAAATAATACTAGCTAAAATTTTTTTTTTCAAAGTTAGAATAACGGGAGAGGAGGATTTTTTCCCTCTTCTTAAAATAAATCCTATTCGTCTCTTCGCTTTCTCTCCTTTCTCGTATTTTTCTTGTCCAAAGTCTAATTATCTTGAAAGAGAGAAAAATTGAAAATAATCATGTTTGACCGATCACCAATAAACAGCGGGAAACGTAAACCATCCCATACTTACTTGGACTACGAAGTAAGAATGTTTTTCTTTTTTATTGTTTTTGTTGTTAATCATCCCACTGTCTTTTTGTTTGTTTGTTTTAAAGTTTGATTTCCTTTTCCAAAAATTCCCTCTAACAAAGCATTCAACGTTCTTAACCCGAGAAAAATAAATCTTAACTTTCATGCAGAAGCAAGGCTTCGTGGTTTTGGAAGTCACTTCCGTTATTTCTTAGTTTTTACTGTAATTTTTGTGCTCATTTATAGTTTTTCTTAAAAAAAAAAAAATAATGATTAACATAAATTTTTATTAGTAATTATTTATTTTGCGATTTCGATGTCTGGTTCGGAGTTTAGCGTGTAGAGAGGAAATCTAGCAGTTGAATAAACTATTTTTTTTTAATTCAATAATGACTTAAATTTTCATTGAGCTGTCGAAAACCTTTTTCTTTACTTTTGAAAACAGGTAAATAATTGGAAACTAAGTTAAGTAAATTGCGGTATTTTGAATTAAAAACCAAGCTGCTTTAAACTTTATCAAAAAATGTTGACTTGTTTAATAATTTGAAAATTCTAGTGCGCAATAAATCTGCATCAATTGGCGGTAAAAAAAAAAAACGAACTGGGGAATTTAAAAATAAACATTTGCATTTGGTTTATTTAAATTTTAAACTAAACATTTCGAAAGTTTTATTTTTTTTTTATTTTTTTTGCGCATTTTACAAACTTTTTTTGCATGTCTGATTTTTCCTCTTTTGTTTTACTTTTACCTGATTCTTTTTAATGTATTTGAGACTGTTAGTGTTAATCATACAGATGTTTTAATTTCAACATATCCAGTCTTCTTTTTCAATCAACTAAGTCATGGAAGATTTATTTTAGAGATTAAATAGAAATAAATACGCACTATGCCAAAATGTTTAATAAATGCTGAAGAAAAACGAACAGAAAAAAATACCTTGTTGATGGAAATGTTTCTTTTCCTTTTACAATAATAACTTTTGATTTCTTTTTACTAAAAAAGAAAAAGGAAAAAGAAACCAAATGATTACTACACTATTGTAAAAGAATTGTGTCCCCGCTTCTTTTTGGCGTGCCGAAAGATTTTTCTACTTTTGTTGGAGAGTCGGTGATTGATTCATTAACAAAACAAAAAAAGTAGCCCCCTCCCCCAAAAAAATTCTGTGCAATAATAATAGTCAAATAATTAAACTAGTTAGTATTTCAATACTAGTTAATTTTTAATCAGAAACATTGAGTAGTATCAATGAATATTGAATGCTAGTACAATTCATAAAAAAGCACCTAGATTAGCATTATTATTTTTTTTAATATGCTAATTTTCTAAAAAAAAGTTGTTTTAAAATCTAAATGCCTGGTGCATCGAGGGAGCTTTGGCTTACAAATGGCTTGCCTCCTGGAGACCTGTCTCCTCTGCAGCATTTCAAGGGTTAAATGGCCGCTCTTTTTTATGCTACAACAAAAATACCCCAGAAAAACAAAAACAAGTGGTGCTGGATTATTTTGGCCGCTACATAACACACGTGTGTTGGCCACGCATTAAACTGGCCTTAAGGCTTATGTCTAATTTTCTCTCTTTATTTGAGGCAAATAAAAATGCAATGAATAAGGTTTGAAACATCTACACTTCAACAATTTTAGTTTAAGTTAAGAAGCTGGTGATTTTCTCGAATTTGATATTAACTAAAACAAGTACCTGACAAAATTGAAGCTATTTTTTTTACATTTTTACAAACATAGATTTTGTTTCTCGAGATTTATATTTTAATTTAAATGTAAATATTATAATTAAAATAGAACTATTTCTTGTTAAAGAACAAATCATGTTTTTTGCCTGTTGCTCACTTGAAAAAGAAAAAACAATTTTTTAATTTTAGCTTTTTTTTTTGTTATAAAATATTTTCTACTGAAATTTGATATACTACTGTTTAAAAATATCAATGTTTTGAAAATACAGATACTAAAAAAAAAGCAAAAACAATTTGTTATATAAAACCGATTTACAAAGCCACGTGTATACAGCAGGTGAATTGTATGATCGATCTCATTGTATTGTTTACTCAAGGTTGCCACAAGCAAATAAATATTTTCTAGTTAAGTAGTTTATAGCTTTTTTTGATCTTAGTAAAAATGTAGCTATTGAGCACTGACTGGGATAAAGTTTCTGAAATTTTTTTTTTCTTATTTCTCGATTTTCTGTTTCTAAGTAAAGTTAGCCAAACCAGAACTTTTAAAAATATGATGGCGAAAAATCAATTCTAAGACGTGTCATCTAAATTAGAGATGTGAAAACAAAATAAATTGATTATAACAAAACGTATAATTCTTCTTTTTTTTTTTTTTTTTTTTTTTACATGAAAAAGAAAAAACTTAATTGGGTTTAATAATTTGTCAAATTAAAATTCCTTGGTTCTTAATCTTAATTCTGTTTCAAACTGAAACTTATCTGTGACTCATTTTTTTAACAAGTTTCTTCCAGGGCTTCTTTTTTGTTATCAGTGTGTATATCAAAGAGCTGACTAATAAAAAAAATATTTCGTAATATATTGCAATTGCTACAATTTTCCATTGTTGTGAAATGTGCACAATGCCTGGATTCCATTTGTGCTTTAAAAATCTACCGAATCTTAGTCATTTCATCACCTTGTTGGCTACACTCCTTCCTTTTCTATCGGAAAAGGAAATTCCTTTTCAGTTTTATCAACATAAATAAAATTTCTGACTACTGTCTTGGTAAATGGCTACTCAAAAATCTGAAGAGACTTTGTTTATGCTAACGAACCTATTCATAAATCTGGTTCCTTTTTTTTTTAAACCGCACCAGGAAAATTGTTTTCTTTTTTGTATTAATTAAGCTTATTTGAAGCTTGTGTAGTGTATCTCATTTACTAAAGATGTAATGAGGATTGAAAAACAATTGTAGGGTTAAGAAGAATAACATTAAGAAAGCTGAAAGATCGAAAAATATCGACACGCAAATCATCTCTACCTCTGACCGATCAATATCCATAACAAGATGAAATTGATTTTTCTATGTCACAGATCAATTATTTTTTTCATTGGATAATTTTCAAACCATTTTTACTGTCGCTCGGCTAAAATAAAAGTGTAGTTATTGTAGTTAAGTACTAATTCTAATATACTCTACATTTTTAATTTTTAATTCTTTTGTATCAGTTTCTTTGACTTTGTTGTCTTTAAGTTTACTAAGAAGGCAGTTTTGGTTGCGTTACCATCTTTCCTCCGATATCTGTCACAGTTGGTAACTTTATCTGATTTTTCCAGAAGTACAGACACTTAGGATAAGGAGCGAATTTGAAACATTGTTGACTAAAACAAAGAAAGTAATAAAAATATATCAATGTTTAATAATTGTGAAACGTCAAATGATATTATTTTTTTGAGTTAATAGATTTCTGTACAATTTTTTATTCAACAAAAAAAGTTACTAGAAATGAGGTATTTTAAAAGCATCAGCACTTAGCATCAGTTCATTTAGGAATACCAATCCAATACTGTATTTAAGTTTGATAATTGCCTGTTGATAATAAGGTGATGGGAATAGGATATGACACAATTTTTAAATGTAGAGGTATGTATGAATATATGCAGGTAAGAACAAAAATTGCCTTCGTCCTATATTATAAAAATGAATCAGAGTATTCTGACACTCCCCTTTATGCAATGGGGAGTTTGTAAACAAAGTTTACTTAATTTTTTTTATTTTTCTTTTCTTTTTTTCTTTACTGCATTGTGTTAAAAAACATGACAATGAGAATTGGGATCTTGATTAAACTACTCTCATTGCTAAACTGCAAAGTGCTCAAAGGTAGTGTGAAAATCTAGCATTATAGTATAAGAATGCTTTAGAGGAAATGAAAGATATGCTACACTCTGATCCTAAACTAAAGTCCATGGAACTGTGCTCCAATTCTTGATTGAATCTGTTTCAGTCTGTAATTAAGGGACATGTTGAAAGGCAAATTTAAAGAGACGAAGCTGGCAAATACCTTTCAGGTGAAGGATTTTCTGCTTTTTAAACTTTTTCCCTGACAATTTCAGCATGTGGCTCTACATGTTTTTAGGAAGAAGACATTTTCAAAGTTGAAGTATAGAATTGAATCTATCTTGTTCTTAATGGGTCAACATTTCAAAGATAAATCATGCTAAATTTACATCTTAGGTTAAGTCAGTCTTTAACAGATCAACATTTACAGCCCAAATTTTGAAGCATTTTTTCACTTTAATTTTTGGCTTGAAAAAAATTTCATTTTCATTGGTTTGTCATTATTAACATTCTTTTTAAAAGAACTATTTGTTTATTCATAATGGAAAATATTTAATATGGTTTAAAAGGAACAATTAAAAAAAAATGTAGTTATCTTCATTTTACATATCTAGTTAGTTTTACTTTGAGCTTATTTTGGCCCATAAATGTTCAAAACATTGCCAGTCTAGTTTATTTCTCAAATCATTGCTTACCCCTATTTTGTATGAAATGGTTCAGTGCAAAACATAATTTTATATGCTGCCTATTTTTGTTAGGAATGTTGATTAATAGTTACATTAAACAATAGTGTGTTTGTGTGTAAATCTGTATGTGTCTAATTTTTAATGGATCTTGAGATTTTATCAGTCTTTCATTGCAATAAACCCTCATGAGTCTTGATTTCTTATGCTTTGTTGATCTCTCAATGCATAAAACATATCATGTCACATTATTAGCTGAATTTTGATTGGAAGTTTTTCATTCTAATTATTCATCACTGAATTAAATGCACCAACAAGGAAAGAGATTGTTAAAATATTTACTGTGTTAAATAAATACTTTTATTTTTTTCCTATCAAGCCAAGGTGATGCATGCATGTATGATATTGTTTTGATAAGAGCTTTAGGATATATGATATACTTTATGCCCATTTAATCAATATGGTATTAAGACTAAATTACTGATACTAATAAATAATTGCATTGTATTTCAGGATTTGAATCTCAAATGGTTTATTATTGAT